AAAGATTCATATCAGTTTGTACGTGCGCCAGATAAAACTTGGCACTTTTCCTCAACATTTTGCCGCAACTTTTCAAAGAGCCGGAAAGTAAATAAACGGCAGATGGAAATGACGCAGCTCAATCATATTACTTTTCACGCATGCACAGTACAGGAATGTAGCGTTTTCAGTGTGGATGCGGAGCGTTTGTAGACGAAAACACCGTTTTCCAGTTTATCCGGATTAGTGTAGACGTAGTCTCAGGTTAAAGCAGAGGTGGTTCTGATACGTTTCCTAGAGGATAACAGAGTTCACAATGTCGAATAAACTTTTTGCTACTTCACTAATAACCGCCTGCTAACAACTAGAAATCTCACTCAATCCTATCTTTGTGCATTGTTCTGCATATTCTGCACAAAAATAACAAACTAAAACAAACCATTTTTATACCAACATCAGGCTTTTTAACCAGCTACAAACACTGCTTCATCAACAAATGTTCAGCAAACACAAACCAGTCTGCAAAGAATGGCTACTTACATTACCAATAAATGGCTAACAGAGGATTTAAGTTTTTCCAAAACAAATGATAGAACTTTGACAATGACAATGACTGCAACTTAGTGTTTATAACCAGCAACAACAACAGTGACAAAACCCCATTTTGTTAAATGTGGCTCCAGCTTGCAGCAAAGAGTCCTATTGAGCATTAATTTGTTTATAAAATAAAAAATAAAAAGTTTCTCAGTTTATAGTGTGTGCTTGGACTTTGTATCTCGAATTCAAGCACACACTAAAGCTTTTTTTTTTAATTAAAAGTTTAACTGCAGACAACACCTGTCAAAAAACAAATAACTAAACCTTTTATGTGCTTAGCTATCAGCAAGGTCTTTAATCTAACCGGTCAGGTAAAGTTAGGACCAAGTTCTCTGTTCAGATGCATATTTTTGATGTTGCCTTACTTCTGTAGCTTTACTGCAGATTATCTTCTGTGTAACACAATTAGCGTTGGATGAAGCAGCTGCAAAGTTCACTTTTCTTAATGTTGGATTTTGTTGATCAGGTGCTTTGATGAAAGACGCCTGCTAGTTTTTTCCCAGTAATGGTTTTAATGGTGATTATTGGCACAGCGCTGCTGTTTTGGACTCCAGAAAAGTGGTCTTTTACTCAACTTGACTTCACCGTCCCAGTAACAGCTCCATCTCTTTGCAGCGATTCCAGCTCCAAGTTAAAGTGGGCCACTAACACAACAGTCACTGCTGCTGTTGTGTTATCAGTGTTTTGGTGTAAAACTGGGCCCTGTGTCTTAATGTTGTCAAACCTTTTATTCACATGCTGCTCCTTAATATGTTTGTATTGCAGGTCAGTTTCTAGTCGCAAATGTGTGTGAAATGTTTGCATTTACATCATTTAACACATTGGCAGGCTACAGAGCCGGGCACTGAAAGAAGCATCGAAGCAAATACTGTTATAATCGAATCATCAACGTACTCGATGAATTGCTGCAGTCCTAATTTAAAACTACAATAAGATTATTTTTTTTCCATATCGACAATTTTTGTGGTTCCATTCCCATTGAAAACAGTCACAGATGTACCAGGTCACACGGTTCTCAGTTCTAAGTTAGCCCAAACATCTTTTTGTTGTGTGTCTAGTAAAGCTGCAGACTTAAGCTTCTTCTTATGGCAATTTTCATTCAACACGTTGGCGTGATAACATCCGCTCATGTGATTCGGCACATGAGCCACATGAAGCTCAAGTTGAAATCCTGAGACTTAATGAATACCATAAACCTGACTGCCTGGCTATGTATTTTTGTCGGTTTTCTTTAAACATGTGATCAGGGGAGAGCGCGAACGCAGTCCTCCAATACCAGAAATTATGCAGTCGAGATTCCCCCAATTTGGGGAAGTCGAGTCTACGTCTACGCTGACTGTAGACGGTTACGGCGTTTTCATTGGCCCGGAGTCTACGGTGAGCGTAGACACTGTAGACTCGGGCCAATAGGAGCGCCGAATCCCACTGTAGAC